GGTGTCCAAGTGTGATTGGACACACAAGAAATTTGTCTTGGTGCAAATGCTGTCAGTGTACATAAAAGATACATTTGTCAAGAGTCAAGAATCATAAGGTACAACACTTAATAATAGCCATAGGGTACAAATAAGCCATCAAATCATACTAGGAAACAGTGAATAGAATAGAAATACAGAATAGAATAGAATAGAATAGAATAGAATAGAACAGAACAGAATAGAATAAATATTGGAAGGAATAGAATAGAATAGAATAGAATAGAATAGAATAGAATAGAATAGAATAGAATAGAATAGAATTCTTTATTGGCCAAGTGTGGTTGGACACACAAGGAATTTGTCTTGGTGGAAATGCTCTCACTATCCATAAAGAACAAATAAAATACATTCGTCAAGAGTCATCAGGTACGACACTTAATAATAGTTACAGGGTACAATAAGCCATCAAATCAGACTAGGAAACAGTCCATATAAATCGTTAGGATACAAGCAACAAGGTTACAGTCACACAGTCACAAGCGGGAGGGGAAGGGGGATAGGGAGGATGGGAGGATTAATAGTAATAGTAACATCAAGCAAAGTCAATGGGGGGAAGCTGGATTCGCTTAACGACCGTGTGACTGACTTAACAACTGAAGTGATTCACTTTCTGTAACATCAGACTCATTTAACAACCGGTTTGGGAAGTCCGGTCCCTTACACCCCCCTGGTGTTTTAAGAGGAAAACTACTACCTGTATAGATGGTTCTCGACTGAAAACCATTTGTTTAGTGACCAAAGTTAAAATGGCACTGGAAAAAGTAACTTATAACCGTTCTTTGCACTTATGACTGTTGCATTTCTGCTATCACGTGATCAAAGTTTGGAGATTTGGTGACCGACTTTGATTTATGATGGTTACAGAGTCCCATAATCAACATTTGCGACCATTTGAGAGAGAGAGAGAGAGAGAGAGAGAGAGAGAGAGAGGAGAGCAGTGGAAATCTATGGGCCGGTCCTTGGGACAGAAAAGCCACCGCTGCTAGCAAGACCCCACTCTAGCTCTGGGGATCAAAGGCAGGGGGTGGAGATGAACAGGTGTGGCAGGCAACTATTCATCTTGCAGCCAGATGGTCTGGTTAGCCTGCGGTGAGAGAGAAACTTTTTGCTGGTGCTCCTAATAAAAGGAACCTTTTGAGTTCACTTCACACGGTCTGTCGTGTTTGGGGAGCTGGGTCAGAACACAGTGATTTGCTTAACAACTGAGGCAAGAAATGTGGTAAAATGGGGCAAAACATAAATATAGCCACGTAAATTTGGGGGCTCAGTTGTGCTCATAAGTTGTAAGGACCAGGGGTGGGGTTCAAATTTCTTGACAACTGGTTCTGTGGGCATGGGCCTAATTTGTGGGCGTGGCTTGGTGGTCATGTGACTGGGTGGGCGTGGTTGGTATGTAAATATTATAAATATTTATGTAAATATTGAATTTTTTTATATATAAAAAAAGAGCAACCTTTCCCCAAAATCAGGCAAAGCAGGCAGGCAGATTGAGTTGCACCCAGAATCACAGATTCACTCAGAGATCTATCTTTCTGCCATCGGCTACCTGAGTCTGCACTGAAAAATAGAAGCTTCGGTCCTAAAGAAGGTTCAGCACTGCGTTTTGATTAGGTAGAAAGCAAGACATCCAAGGTTTTCCTGCTTCCTAGCTAATCTAAATCTCCCGGCACAGCAGAACAGTTGATGGTTGAGGAAAAAAAAAAAAAAAGGAAAAATAGCAACTTACCAAAAAGGCAAGTTTGATGGTCCTCGTGCCAGGTGAGGAGTGAGTGGGTGAGGAGGGGCGGGGCCAGCCAGGGGCACGATTGGCCAGTTCTCTGAACTGCGCAGAATCTTAACAACCGGTTCCATAGAACCAGTCCGACCAGGTAGAATCCCACCCCTAGTAAGGACTGCCTGTCTACAGAAAGAAAAAACCCCCGTCCCCCCCCCCCCCCCCCACAGATGCAGTCATGGGAATTTGTTTAAAGAAATGCATCTTAGCGGCATCTAGAAAAGGCCATCGAGCTGTGATTTGACTTCCTGGGCAAAAGTACCGGCCTTGGTTAGATCACAAAGTCGGGATTGCGAAGCTGCTGAGCCCAACCTTCTTCTCGGGGCAAGGATCCAAATCCCGGCCTCTCCGACAGATGGGACCTCCAGCCTCCGACTGAACCCATGGCAGGGAAGGTTAGCCCGCCGCACTCGGGGTCACGGGCCCCACTGTCAAATCGCTGTCAGTGCAAGAGGTGGTTACGACCTGCTCTCTCGGTGGCTCTGCAACCCACGACATGCAACCACCCGTGGTTGCATATCGTGGGTTGTAGAGCCGCCGAGAGCAGGTCGTAACCTGCGTTGACACCCTTTCGAAAATGCCCTCCTCTGCTCTCTCTCTCTCTCTTGGCCCTCGTTTCTCATGGCTAAATCTGCCACCTCTCGTTCGATCGTTTTTGAGGCAGGATTTCGTTTCTGCTTCTGAGAGAAAACGATGTTTGTGGCCCAGGGCTGAATGGGGGGGCGGGGGGGCGGCCTTGCTGCTTCCTGAGCTTCGTGGTTTTCTGCCAGCTGTTGTACGACCCAACCAGGGAACCTCATCGATGCTAGAAGGGAGGGAAAGGTTGCAGAGAGGAGGAGGAGGAAAAAAAGGACTGAAGAGTCCTTGGAGTCCTCTCTGAGTTTGGTTGTGTTCTTGCAGACATTTCATGACCCGACTAGGTAACGTCGTCAGTTCTAGAAAGGAGTGGGATTTGCAGAGGAGGAGGAGGAGGAGAAAGAGGAGGAGGAGAATGAGAATTGCAGTGTCCTTGGTGCTCTCTGAGACGTTTCATGACCCAACTAGATAACATCGTCAGTTCTAGAAGGGAATAGGGTTTGCAGAGAGGAGAGGAGGAGGAGGGAGAGGGTATCCTTGGTGCTGGTAGTTTTCTTGCAAACATTTCAACCTCAAACTAAGTAAAGTCATCCATGCTAGAGTTTCAGAGTGGAAGGGAAGAGGAGGAGGAGCGGGACAATGACCATAGGATCCTTGGTTCTTTCTGAGTTTGGTTGTGTTCTTGCAGACATTTCATGACCCAACTAGGTAACGTCATCAGTTCTAGAAGGGAGTGGGGTTTGCAGGGAGGAAGAGGAGAAAGAGGAGGAGGAGAATGAGAATTGCGGTGTCCTTGGTTCTTTCTGAGGCTTGGTTGTTCTCTTGCAGACATTTGGGGCTCAACTGAGATGGTAAGTCCAGGACTACTTGCTGTCATTTTCTTACAGCTGGTCAGCTCCTTTTGATCTGTTCCAGATGTGCTCGGCTGCAACCCAGATACTGATTGGGGGAGAGCAGGGGAAAGAGGGCACTTTACTCCAGCACATGGGTCTCCAACCTTGGCAACTTTTTGTGGACTTCAACTCCCAGAATTCTTCCTCCTCCAGTCATGTTAGCTCAGGAATTCTGGGAGTTGAAGTCCACAAGTCTTAAAGTTGCCAAGTTTGGGGACCCCAGGATTACATTAACAGAGTTGGAAGGGACCTTGTAGGTCATCTAAGCCAGTGGTCGCCAACCAGCAGGCCGGGGACCACTGGTGGTCCTCAAGAAATTTTTCTGGTCTGCAAAGAAATGTCACCCCCAAAGCAATTAAGCCAGGCTGTGCAGGAACACAAGGCTGCCCACATGGCCCACAGGAACACAAGGCTTGCGTTGTTTGCATTGCACACAACACGAGGTAGTGAGGGGAGGGGCGAAAGGGCGGAGGGGAGAACTTGCCCCACTTGCCCCATGCGCCTGGCCTGGCCACCGGGCTGCTTCTTTCTGCTTCTTTCTTCTTCTGCTTTTGGCTGCACACAAGGAAAGCAGCCAAAGTCTTTCTTTCTCTCCCCCAAACTCCGCCAGAAATGAGTCTTTGGGACCCTGCAAGGCCTCCTGCTCCAAGAGGCTGCACCGGCAAAGATTCATTTCTGGTGGAGTTTGGGGGAGAGAAAGAAAGACTTCGGCAGCTTCTGCTGCTTTCCTTGCATGAAGCCAAAAGTCTCTCTCTCTTTCTCTCTCTCTCTCTCCCCCTAAGAACGGAGGTGGAGACGGTCTCCTGTGATCCCAAATAAAGAAAGATCGATCGGTAGGAAAACAGGGTGGGGAATTTTCCTGCAGACTTTTTTTTGGGGGGGGGATTTTCCCAGGGTCTCTGGTCCACGGGATTTAAAATGATGAGTTTGGTGGTCCCTGAGGTCCAAAAGGTTGGCGACCCCTGGACTAGTCCAACCTACCACCCAAGCAGGAGACCCTACACCATTTCTGAGAAATGGCAGCCTCCCGAAAAGTCTGTTTGGATCATCCCGATCGCACATGTGCGTTTTTGGCAACCACGTGAATACATTTATTCATGGTTATTTGGCCACATCTGTTGAAGGCCCCAGGAATTGTTCTTCATTCCACACTCAAATTTCGCCGCAAAAGGCTACTGGTTGGGGCTGATCTGTTTTTAAGTTCCACCTCGTTTCCAAAATTAGAAAGGCGTTTAGCCTTTCTAAAGACTTCCCAAGTCTCTTTCACGTTGAGCAAAACATAGAAGAAATGCCTACTTTTGACTTCACCTCAGCATTTTGAATAGATTTTACACAATACTCTGAAGGTTTCCACACTTCACGCATAACTACTCCCTTGACTTAAACAGCACTTCCCATGGGGAAAGAGGTTAAAGCTACTCCACCCAAGATACAATGCTGGCCACATCCTTTTTTGACTACTTATCTAGGGAATGTGATTTTAATCAAGAATAAGGCCACTTGCTTCCCTGAGGGACTTACTAAAAAAAACAAAACCATAATATACTTGTCATGTATATTAAAAGCCAGTGGCTTATTATTAAACATCTTGTGTTTCATAAAATCCATTTTCCCCCCTCTTTTCAAAGCTGGCTTGGTTAACCTGAAATAGAGGCTGTGGGGTTTTTTTTGGGAATGGATATGTGTGTGGTGAAAAATATACAGGTAGTCCTTGACTTACGACCATAATTGAGTACTACGTTTCTGTTGCTAAGCAAGACCTCTGTTTGGTGGGTTTTGCCCCATTTTACAACCTTCCTTGCCAAGTCGTTAAGTGGATCGCTGCAGTTGTTAAGTTAGTCACAGGGTTGTTAAGTAAGGTCGCAAAAGGGCGATCACGTGACACCCCCCCAGGGGCGCTGCGAACTGTCGTAAATACTAGTCAGTTGCCAAGCGTCTGAATTTGGTTCAGGTGACCATGGGAGGTGTGATGCAATGGTCGTTAAGTGTGAAAAACGGTCATAAGTCGCTTTTTTCAGTGCCGCTGCAACTTTGAATGGCCACTAAAAGAACTGTTTTAACTTGAGGACTATATGTACTGCACCCCAAGTAGGATAAAATATCTCATAAGATAAAAGAGATTTTTAAGCACTCCAAGTGGCTTGGTCTTCATTTCTCTTTAACAGACTTGATTCCACTTTAATTATAGTGCCCTGAACCATATGCAGGTAGTCCTCCACTAACAACGGTTTGTTTGAAGTTACAACTGGTTCTCACATTTACAACGGTCACAGCATCTTTCACTGTTACATGACCAGAATTTGGGGGCTTGGAAACTGGCATTTATTTACAAGGGTTGCAAGCATCCTGGAGTCATGTGATTGCTATTTGCTGTAAGACACCCCCCCTCAGAGTCACTTTGAAATGAGATGGCAGGAAATAAATTTGATAGATAGAAAGACAGACAGACAGATACAGTCAGACAGACGGACAGACAGAAATAGACAGATATAATATATATAGAGAGAAATATAGATATACAGAGATGGATACACAGACAGACACAGACAGACAGACATAGATATAGATAGATATAATAATGTATAGATAGATAGATAGATAGATAGATAGAGAGAGAGAGAGAGAGATAGAGAGATATAGATAGATTCAACAGATTAAAGATTGAGAGATATAGATGATAGATAGATATAAATAGATATAAATGATAGAGATAAGTAGATATATAACAAAGATAGATAAAGATTTAATAGCTGATAAATGATTGAGAGATATAGATGATAGATATAGATAAATATAGATATAGACATAATATAGATTAGACAGAGAGATAGATAGACAGACATAGATACGAAGAGAGATAGATAGAGATAAGCAGAGATAGATAGATGGCAGAAATAGATAGATAAATAGATATAGAGATAGACAGAGATATAGGTAGAGATTCAGATTATAGATGATTGTGAGATATAGATGATAGATATATAGATAGATATAGATATATAGAGATGATAGAGATAAGTAGATATATAACAGATAGATAAAGATTTAACAGCAGACAAATGATTGAGAGAAATAGATGGTAGATAGATGATATAGATATAAATATAGATAGCTAGATATAGATATAGACAAATAAATATATAGATTAGATAAAGAGATAGACAGACACACAGAGATAGATACAGAGATAAATAGATAGAGATAAGCAGAGATAGACAGATGGCAGAAATAGATAGATAGAGATGCAACTTTCCCAGCCCAGTTCCAAAAGTCAAAGGGGAAACTGGATTTGCTTAATGACTGCACAATTCACTTAACCTCTGCAGTGATTTGCTTAACCACCGTGGCCAAAAACGGCTGTAAAATTGGGCGTCACTCAATTAACAACCTCTTTACTTAGCAAAGGGAAATCATAGTTCCAATGGTTAAGTCAAGGACCAACCGCATCAAGTCATCCTTCAACAAATCATCCAAATCATCCTTCAACAGGGAAGTGAAAATGGGTACACTTCTAAAAAAGAAGAAAGAAAGAAAGAAAGAAAGAAAGAAAGAAAAAGAAAGAAAGAAAGAAAGAAAGAAAGAAAGAAAGAAAGAAAGAAAGAAAGAAAGAAAGAAAGAAAGAACCACAACCCTGGTAGGTGGGTGAAACCTCTTACCCTTGCAGGACCACCAGCAGCCTCACTTTCTTCCGGTGATAAGCGGAAGGCCGGCTGCTTCGGCTGTGCTGAGATTCAAGGACCCCCGAGAGATACTTCTGGAAGTGGGCGGCACTGAAGCATTCGGGGCTGTCCATGGTCTGGCGATAAACGAGCCACCTGGAGGGAAGGAAGATGGTTTTATTTGCTACGCTCTCCCCAGCCTGTTCCGTCCCTCAAACCAACCTGCTTAAACGGGAGCACGACAAAGACGGATTTGGCTTCGATAGGCAAGAGTGGCTTGCAGCTCAGACTTGAAGGGTCTTTGGTACTTGGAAGTTTTCCTGCAGACGTTTCATGACCCAACTAGGGAACATCAACAGTGCTAGAAGGGAGTGGGGTTTGCTCTCTCTTAAAGTACAAGTGCTTTGCCTTGCTAATGCTGGCAGGGCTGTGTTGTTGTTGTTGTTTTTTGATAGATCCTTGATTTAGGGAATTACTGAATTAGGGAATTACCTAATTATGGAACTTTAGCTGTGGTGCTCTCTGAGCTTGG